TACACTGAAAGAAGAGATTAGCTGCTGCAACAATTTATATGTAAAATATGGCATAGCATTTTAATTGGCTGCAATAGTCAAGTTTTGGTTGCGTTAGCCTATCCGCAATATTAGTATACGATTTCGATAGGCTACCGACGAGATGCTATTAAAGACTGTGATTATCCCTGGGCAAATTTTCAGCGGTATAAAAAGAACTTCAAGAATCCGAAGGTAATTGAAGAACGCTGATATTATCAACAATTGATATAAATTTGCTATTATTAACATAAATATTTGATTAATATATAATTAATTATATAATTCATGATTTTTTATTACATAAATGCTCCATAAATAAATATGCGTACTTGTAAAATTATAATATTCTATATATTGCCGAAAAAAATTGCAATTTTTTCTCTGCAGTTGTCATCTCTGTTGGTAATCAAACTTTGACGATAACACTGAAATCACAATTTTAAAGAAAGATCGAGTATCATTAAATTTTAAATGCATATACACACACACCAATAAACTCGTTTACTAAACCAAAAATAATCAAAAAATACAATATTATCAGTTTTTTCTTTATCACTTCAATATTAACAACGATACGAATTCCCGTAAGGATGTCGATCTTTATTAATAGTATCTCGTCGGTGAATAGGCTAACAAAAATTGGTTGTTGCAGCCAATTAAAAATACCATGCCATATTCAGCCAATCTTTTGTTTCAGTGTATGCATTGTCAGTAAACTATTCTAATTGAACGCTATATATGTATTGCAATTGAATTCGCGTTTCGTATATCAATTCATTCGTCTTGCTTCCAGAAACAGAGGCCGGTGAATGCACGGACGTGGGATCAGATTGCGCGGAGCTGATTGACAGGCTAAGAACATGGCTGTGCCATCTACAATCTGTGAAGAGTCGCTGCTGCGCGTCCCTGAAGACGATCTGTGCTGACTAAATAATGACACTAAGGACAAAAAATCAGAAAGAAAAAGAAAAATCAATTTGATAGTTTACTTGAAGACGTCGCGCTTAGACGCCCGCCACGGATGACGATTTTATTAGGCGCCCTATCGCTTCTCGCCGTCGTAACGCAGCATCCGGAAAAGCGCCGCATCGGAAGGAGTTCGGGAAAGATCTTTCGCGCTCGTCAACTCTTTCTCTTTCTCTTTCCTTTTTTTTTTCGCGGATAGACGAGAAAATCTACGTTAGATCCTCGTGCGGTTCCTCGATCGCGATAATCACATTGGACTCTTATAGTTGTAGCTGCGTGTCTCTCGCATACTTCCAGACGTAATTTTCACAGTACCAATTTTTTTTCGGTACCAAGATTGTACCGAACAATGTAGTGAATCTCTAAAAAGGAATAGATTGTCAATCGGTACGATAGAGATTTCGGCTGCGTTCATATTTATTCAATAAGAAGCGATCTCGCGAAAGACTCGTTACACAGGCACAGGTGCGTCGTGCGTATATTTTTCGCGAGCGTAAAAACGCGCGTGTGCGCGCGCATATGAAAGCCATTCGGAATTTACGGAAATTGTATAGCGCAAGACAATAAATGGGAATAATTAAAACATTCTTTCTTTTTCTCTTACCCATATAATAATGTATATAATTTATGTAATTATATTTATAAATTATATAATTAGAGAGGCATAAAATATTTGTGAAAGCCTGGGATATTTCGCAGAAAGGAAACTTTTACATCATTCTGTATATTTCATACGTTTTAATTTGAAAAAAAAAAAAAAAAGATTAATAAATTTCAATTGAAAAATATTTTACAAGCAACTATACTGTAACTTTTCAACTTGCGAATTAAAAGTATTATGAAAACTTATTTATTTAATTAAAAATAATAGTATTTATATTAAAAATTACATTAAAATCTGAAAAATGGGTACATAAAAGAACGCAATCTGAGTTTTCTTCAAATGTACAATTGATAATAGATAATAGATACATGGAAAGAAACTGAGTGATTTTATTTTTTATTAGAGCTTTATTAGAGCTTTAAAAAGATTAGATAAAGACTGAGGTAAAATAGTGATTTTAGAAAAACACGAAAACGATTCGTATGTGAGTGAAATAATATCATAGTTCACGAAACATTTTAGTGGCAACAACTGTAGTCATTAAGATCTCTAATAAGATAACTGCAAATGATTGATTGATTCTGACAAGAGCAAACGTCGCTATGTTTCATGATGTAATGTACTGTTTATGCAGATAATATTTTTTATTCAGCATTTGTTAATTGTCGCATATGCAATCGGCGCGGCTGCAATGAAATGATATATGCGAATGTACCTCACGCATTATAGATGCATATCGAAGTTCATAAGCATGTGACAAATGATTTGTTTCTCAGTCAGAAATGATAATGGAATCGAATTGATGTCGATTTCATTATCATTTCTGACTGGGTTGGCAGCGAACAGACGCAAAAATATTTCGAATGTTAGTGAACGGAACTGGAAGAATTTAGGAAAGCGTCCTTCGGGAAAAAAAAAAAAATTATTTATGTAAGATTTTGTGTCTTGGATAAGCACATACATAAATCAGTGGATCAACGTTCCGATATCACGATGTCTTGGTGCAGTTAGCGTATTATCTTTTTCTTCTGTTTCTTTTCTTTCTTTTTCTCGAAGAGAATTACACGATTATTAATATCTTTTTGCAAATAAAGATGTTTACCGTAAATAAATTTTCTGTTCATTCTTCAAGCACCTTAACGATTCTATTCAATTAGTTAAATTAATTAATTCATTATTTTATTCTTTAATCAATTCGACTTCCTTCGTTTTTACCTTTTTATTTTTTATTATTCTTTCTCATAAATTTTTGTTCCCTTTCTCATAAACAAATAGTTCAAGTGTAATATATTTTTATTAAAAAATGCAAACACAATTTGAGCAAAAAATTTGAGCAGTAAACAATCCCCCAATTTGATCATCGACAGAACATTTAATTCACAGTCAGGTTTTCGTGTGTTGTCACACACAAGAATTATGAATTTGTATAATTCTTTCTTCATCATCGTGTTCGCGCGCAAACCATTCGTTATATGTACAAGTGTTTTTCCGTTTAATCGCGAGCATAGATCAAATATCGATTAGCTAATTTATATGGAACGTGAAATAGCCCTTTCTTATATTTGGGCTGCGGGCTCTCTCGCTGGAAGATCGGGATATTCATGAATGTCAAGATAGCGAGAGAGATCGCAGCTTGTTATTTATATTATTTGATGGCGAACAGTTCATTTCGTTTCGGTGAAATTACGAGTAATTCGAAGATCACCTAAGGTACTATAAAGAATGTTCCGTGCGATATTTCTATTATGCCTGGCTGGAATACCGTTTTCACGATGCAAACAGGTAACGTTTAGAATATAAGTACAAACGCCTAATTCAGTTATCGTTTTATCCGCATAAAAGTGAAAACTGTAAAGCTATAGAATGTTAGAAAAAAAGGACGTATTTTCAGCTTCACGAGTACATGACGCTAAACGAAGTGATGTCCATTTTTAACAAGCCACATCATCTTGGTGAGTGACAGGATTTCTTCTTACAGAAAGATCCTTTTATTTTCCTAGTACTTTTTCTTATAAATTATACAAATTTTTCTTAGATCAATAATACCTAATTAATAATATTATTATTGCAATTCTAACTTATTACAAAATAATAGCATTAAATTATATGTATATATTTGCATTGGTTTGTATATTCTCAATTTATATTAACTTTCAGTACCTGAATATGAAGTGGTGCCCGTATTGCATCGCATGTCGAAGGACGAGGAAATGAAAGAAAATATAAATGAACTCAAGATAAAGGTCTTCAACGATGACGTAAACTTATATTTGAATCCCACGGAAGGAATCCTCGCTAGTAAGAATACACCCGTATGGACCGTTTCATCTAATCCAGAAGCACCCGAAGGATTGCAATACAAACAAGTACCCAAGGTATGTGTCTTTCAACTTTTATATCTTTACAATAGTAAAAAAAAAAAATACTATATGCAAGATGGAAAAAAATGTCTTTCTTATTATTACTTTCTCGTCGTAGGCTATGGATTCTGTAGGGATCATTCTTCAAGACGTACGCACTTCGAGCTCAATTTTGCTAACTCCTACTCCTGACGGTCAAGTTCATTTGGTAAGGATTCCAATTGCATCTCAAAGTTGCGATCGAAAGCAAATAATTTTTCTCCTTTTTTTTAAATATACATATGAATGTAAATCAATAATGCTTTTCTTTCTGTAGAACGGAGTGCTTAACAATATATACGTCATCAAATCTCTACCGCGACGAATATTGGATCATGTTCTTTACGGAGGACGCAAACTCTTTGAGCCGCTTTATAAGAAGAATGTGACAAACAACAATGACTTGGCTTACACGCATCATCACGTAGTGTACAAGATGCCTTCATCAGATCAGAAAGATTTTAGTAAGCTATTTGAATACTTACATAAAAATTTTGCGTATGCATTCTCTTTCAAATTTCAGTTCAGGCAGGTGTCTTACTCAATACTCTTATGGTTCTTCAGAAATTACAAATCCTGAGGACCAAGAAGTGAAACGCAATGTCCCGGACATCATTTATCCAGAATTTTTAGTAGTAGCAGATTACAGTATATATCAGTAAATGAAGTATATGATACTAATTATATATGTACAAATAATCATAAATTTTATAATAAATATACATTATTATTTTTTTTATAAAATATTAATATTTTTTAATATTATTAAAATAATTAATATTTTTCTATTTATTGCAGAGTACTTGGCGGTAATATCGAGCAGGCCGTAAGATACCTCGTCTCATTTTGGAACGGAGTCGATTTGAGATACCGTTTGTTAACCACGCCGAAAATTCGGCTTAATATCGCAGGAATAATCATAAGCGTTGTAAGTTTTAGCTTAATATTCAAATAGGAGAGACCGAGGCTGATTCAGTTGGTTGTCATACGGGATTGATTGTCAAAATGCTTATAACTCAAACAGGATGTGGAAGAAAAACCTCTTTTTTTTTTACTGTAGATTGGTGATATTAATTTGTTATAAAATGATTTGCGCTACAAGCATTGTATATATTATTATTAATAATTTTTAAGAAAATGAAGTTGATGAGTAAATTTTTCTTATCACCTATTTTGTTGTCTGACAAGTCTTTGGTATTATTAATCGCGATATCCTCTTGTATTTATAGAAAATGACATACCTTAGAAAATCTGTGCTACAATTAATTGATCATTATTCTGACAAAATTTGTAAATACAATCTCTTTTATTAAAAACTATGTGGGATAGATTGATCAAAATGAGACAAAGTTAATTTAAACAATTAATTTTAATATCTTTAAAGAATGCATTTTTAGAGAATATATTATTGATATATTATATTTTATAGATATATATGTTTTTTATTTTTCATATAAGAAACTACGGTACAAAAAACAAATTATGTATTTTATAATTAAAATAACTATTTTATTTGAATTAATATCATAATTACTATTATTTCTCAAAATATAAAACTGATATTAAAATAAAAATTGTATTTTTTATATGTGTTGTCCATAACAAATATGCTACTACCAATCCTAAAACAATCAACCCAGAACATAGGATTAATTATCACATTTTCGCAGCTTCATTAAAAATTAAATAACTTATTTTTACGATATAATGAATTCACGAGTAATATTTTTTTTAATACCTAAAGAATATAGATATATTATAATGTACATAATATTACAAAATCAGGCATCTACTTTTTTCTAAAAATCAAAAACTGTGACAACCAGTCTTCCCTACATACAAATCCTTCATTATATTCAAATACATGTAAATCACATATAAATATCTTCTAATTATTTTACATCAAAATTTAAAAGAAGATAATTTCTGAGTTGGATAATATTTATAACATATTTGATATATTTAATATATATCTATATTATTTTTAACGTAATATTTCGTTATATTTTAGGACAAGGATGCAACCCCATATTTAGAAAACAATCGTTTCGAAGTTTCATTCCTAGATGCGGATCGTGCTCTACGCAATATGGGAGATTACTTCTATCGCGAGAGTAGATTCCCAACAGATTTTTACGACATAGCGATCGCTATGACAAAGTAAGTACCCGGTAATTCCCATATATGTTTGCATGTTTAATTTCTAGAATCACTTACAAAACCATAACACGCATAGACAAAAAAATAATACAATCCGATATAATTTCAGTCTAGATTTGTGCAACATGATTACTGATGACTATTGCGAGCCATCGACTTTGGGTAAGTCTGCCAAGATAACGTATTATATGACAAATGCAGCTCTTTCCGTTATTAATATTATTAATTACAATCCTTTGCAAAAATATAAAATAATGATAAATTTTGCGGCTGCAGGTTACGCATACGTAGCCGGTGCATGCGACAGAAACGCAACAAAACAATCATCCGAAGCCGTAGGAATGATTGAAGATAACGGTGGATTTTCCGGTATCATCGTAACTGCTCACGAAGTCGGCCATCTGTAAG